CGGTTGGTGCTCATGGCTCAGTGCGAAATGAGCCGTGTAAACCGCCACGTCCATTGAATTTCTCCGTTTTTATTAGGAACAAACCCATAACTGAAGCCGACTAAATTGTCCAAGATCCAAATGTGGTGGTTGAATTCACACGGTAGATCTTCCCCCCCGAAGTGCAGCAATCAATGACCAACAGAGGCAACTACGAGGTCTTCAAGGAAGGAGTTCACGAGGCTGTCAAAGGACTATACAACGCATACAAAGTCAGTATGTGCCTTCGCGCTGCTGAAAAGAAATTGAACATAAAGATGGGCAAATTCGAAACTTAGAGAGCGGGCTGAGAACGAGGCTCGAAAGGCCAAGATAGCCAAGCTCAGGGCAGCGGGGACAACGAAGTCCATGGACAAAGCAGCCCAATGCCTCATGGACCGAGCAATAGCCAACCAAGATACGGCTAATATCTTTGTTAGGGAAGTAATAGAGCACTGAGCCTACAACAAGGGCTTCTTTGAGGGAAAGAAGGTCGGCATTGAGAAAAGAAGGGAACAATTAGCTGATAACGTCTGTCGATGTGAAAATTGGGGGTTCAAACATGGGTGGAAAAAGCTCTCCAAACGGCGAGTGTGGATTCTGCTTCGCCGCTCAATCAGAGCTATATAATGTCGTTTGAAGCCTATGACGCCAAAAAAACAAACGATGAAGAGGAGGCTGTGAACCCTGAGCAGAGCTAACCGGCGTAATAAATAGTTTAATTCTTTGGGTTTTATCCATGTAATTAGGATGTCAATCGGCCTTAGAAAAAAACAATGTTCCTAAAATGTAACGTGAATGTCATGATGTTTAATTTAATAAAAATGTTAATTTCATTTGTTTACCTTCGCCAAGCTAGTTATGTCTCCAAATCTTGCTGGAAAATAATGCTTTACATGACATGATGCTCCGAATTCAAAGGCTTAATGACCCTTCGAGCCAAGTATGAAGGGTGCTCGAAATTCGAAGGCTTAGATTCGTGCCAAGCACAAAGAACATTTCGAATTCAGAGGCTTTATTGATGACTCTTCGTGCCAAGCATGAAGTGTGCTCCGAATTCGAAGGTTTTACTACTGGCTTTCCGTGTCGAGCACGAAGAGCGCTCCAAATTCAGAGGCTTAGATAATAGCTCTTCGTGCCGAGCATAAGAGCACTTCGAATTCGAAAGCTTAGATGATGGCTGTTCGTGCATTGCCTCTTCTGAACTCTTGGCGATCGACCACACTTGGGGGGAGGTGGTAATTGTTGGGACTTTGCCAACTCCTGACGCAAGTGCTCGTTTTCCACTGCCATATCTTCGAAATGCTATTCACTACATTGCATCCGACTCATCAATGTTTGCATGGCATCCTCTGCGGATGTTGAAGGCTGAAATGGGGTTAATGGGTCAAAATTTAGAGACCTCCTTGTGGGAATTAACACTTCGACGGACAAGTTAGTCTCTACAGAAACATTGGTGTTTTTTTGGTTTCTTGAAGTTCAAGGCTCTTAGCACATACCTCCTGCTTGGGCTTCTTTCCTCCTTTTATATCGTTATTCTTCTTGATATTTTCTCTATGTATCTTAGCCCTCCATCATTACTTTGTCAGGGCCCATCTCCCTATCATATTTTTATTAAAAGAAAGGACAATCCAAATTCGTCTAACTTGGTGAAGCCAACTTTCCCGATACACTCGGTTCAACCTTATGGCTCAAGTACCCTTTACTCGGCATACTCTCTATATTGCTGCGTATATTTGGCAATAGCCCAACGTCTGATGGGCTTCAGTTTATTCGGCCCATCTCAAATAGGCTTAGATGTACTCTGTTTGCCGTTCTTGGTAATCACCTTCTCGACCCCCACATTTTATATATTTATATACATATAAAAATTCATTCGTAGTGTTTAAAATGATGTAAATATCAATATAACTAAAATTTATATATGTATATATACATTATACATATAACATCATGTAAATCAATATAACTAATTGATCTCTTCTATATATCCTGATAGTTTGGGGAAAACGATATTGTTTCATGCATTATGTAAGCAAAAACAAAAATACAAATGAATAACAGTGAATCGTAATGAATCATAGTGAATAGTAGGATTCACTCAATTTCCAATTCAACAACATGATTTGAATCATTTTTGTTAAAAATCGTATCTAGATGTATGAATCGAATCGTGAACCGTACGATTCCAACAACGAGTTAGAGTTATATATACACACATATCAATCAAACCTAGACAAATTTCTTGATTCAAAAACACAATCACAAACAAACAAGACAAAATGTGTATTAATGCATAGCTTTCTACATCAATGTGTATATAAATTCAAAAGCACAATCACAAAGAAACAAGACAAAATGTGTATTAATGCATAGAGTTCTACATTAATATGCATATACATTGCTCAAAGCATGTTTTCAAACTATATAACCATATGACTTGAAGATGAAGATGTGGGGAGGTGGGTAATCCAATAAGTGGATCAAATTGCCATCCCTAGTCAATTGTTCAAGCAAAGAAGGGTATGTTGGGTGTGGCCATGGGACATCAGATCCCTATCCTATGAAAATCTCCATCCCATTCTCCAATCAACTTTTGGTAAAAGATACCATTCGAAGGCCCTCCTCAAATAAGACATCCTGAAAAAGCATTTTTCTTGACTTGTTTATGCAGTTTACCGGTTACCACTACTTATAGTGACAAAGATATTATAGCTTTAGTTTGGGAAATAGATTAGCTTAAGCATCTTAAGCAACATGATGTCCTTTGTTACAAAACTTTAGAGTTTCTCAAGCAAGAAAATTTAGTTTTGTCAGTGTGCTAACCTAACTTACTAACCAGTTAACATCCCACCTAGTGCAAACCAATAAATAAATAAATAAAAACCTTCACACATCAAGAAGAGGACAAATGATTCTCGATTTCTGTAAATTCCCAAAAGGGTGTTATCTATGAAACACGGATACTTCAAATAGGGTGACACAGTGTTTTAAAAAGCTCTAGGCGCATCGAGGCGCTAAGGTCACCTAGAGCCTAGGCGCGCGCCTCACCAAAGCGAGGCGCAAGTTATATACGTTAAGCAAAAGATTAATATAGTACAATTTTCAACATAAACAAATATTTAATATGTATATTATTAATTTTTTTAACAAGAAGAGAAGAGAAGAAGAAAAAAAATAATTAATTTTTTTAATATATATATTATTTTATTTATTTATTATATTTTTTACATAATGTGTTTCAATTAATTTTTTTATTTTATTTTATTTTATTTTATATACATGTGTTTATTTTTTTTATTACTATGTATAAATATATATTATATTTTATATATTAGCTATAAGTATATTATATATTATATAATAGGTTTTATGTAATATATATATTATATATATATATGAATCAAGAAAATAAAAGAGGAAGAGACAGAAGCGAGAAGATAAAGTGGGAGAGACAGAAGCGAGCAAGCGAGAGAGAGAGAGATCGCGATTACGATTGCGATCGCGAGGGAGAAGGCGATAGAGAGAGATCGCGATTGCGATCGCGAGAGAGAAGGCGAGAGAGAGAGAGAGAAATTGTGAGCGAGAGAGCGATCGTGGCCCTTCGTCGTTGTCTTCTTCTCGTTGTCCTCTTCTTCTCCACTAGGTTTTATTTATTTATTTATTTTTTTTCCCTGCTCTTCTGACCCATGTTTTGATCATTTGATAATTTATTCCATGTGGGTATTCACACCAAAACCAGATGGGCTGTAGCAGTAGAAGAAACGCGAAACGCCAAAAATGCACGCCTCGAGCCTCAGAAAAAAGCGCACGCCTCGAGCCTTAGCTGCGCCTCCTCTATGTCGCCTCGCCTCGCTATGCATGAGGCGCAGAGCTGCGCCTTGCCTCGCCTTGAGCTTAGGCGCGCGCTTAGGCACGCTTTTCAAAACACTGGGGTGACGTATCCATATCATATCCATATCGGATACCGATACTCCTTGGATACTCGCAGATACATATCGGATACTTATTAAAAATATCGGATATTTCTTAATTATTTTTTCATTAATTTTGGAGTATCGGATACTCCAAGTCATGTTTACTTGTTTTATGAAGTTAGAATTGTAACATTTCTTGCATAGTAATATAATATAATATAATATAATTGTAAGTATAAATATAAGAATATTTTTCTAATACTTTGTTAAATTCTTCGATAAGAAGAGCATAGTGAGTTAAATAATAGAATTTATCAAATTGATATATCCTAATTATTTCATGCATGTCTCCTATAACTACATAGAAAGTAAGAATTAACAAGAGAATATAACAATGGTAAAATTAAATATCAATAAATAAATAAGCAAGCAAACTTGAATACAATATTTTTCACTAGTGTCAAAGGAATCTACTATTGTAATATAAATATATTAAACTCGATATTGAAATGAAATATTTGCAAGACCTATTAAAAATTTAAAAAGTAAACAAGCTACTAGCTTAAATTAATACAAAATATCAAATTTTGTATTATAAAATTATATTGTGATTTCTCAACGTTCTTTAGCTTATGTGTAACTCACTATTAATAATTTTAAAAAATATATTTTTCACAAACGTATCCCAGCCATACTGATATCCTAATTTTTTAAGTTTTGTCGTATCGCCGTATCCATATCGTGTCGTTTCCATATCTATGCTTCCTAGGGTGCTATTCTAACTATCCCTAAACCTGTCAATCCAAAGAGCAATCTTTCTGCATACCCATGTGTTAATAAACTATAAAGACATAATTAGTTGTCACAGGAATTGGAAATGCACTCATAATAATAACAAACCCAAAAGCATAATCCTGCAATCATACTTAACATTTCAAGGCAAAACAATCCTTCCATAAAAAACAGCAGAAAGAACAGAGAATAAAACATCGAAGTCAATTAATCCCCCCAAAAAGAAAAAAACAGACAAATTTATTTTGTTGGGAAATACATAATTTCATATACCTCCGTAACAGGAACAGCAGCAATATTAGAATGAATAGATTCATCCCCATTTAACGGACAGATCAAATCTTGAAATCCAAATACCGAGTCCGCAACCGAGTTCACGGGACAAACGGAAGACGACGGAACCCTTACGGGTTCGGCCCTCGTTAGCCTCCCGAAAACCACCAGCACCACCGAGAGAACCCCCCAAACCCTAACCGCCATTTGATGATGAGGCATCGAGTGATCTTGAGAGACCGAATCGGGACCCAACGAAGCAAACCCCACCAAAATCAACGGTAGGGATTATTGGGTGGAGAGAGAATGGGTGGAGAGCGACCCCAGCGCATTTTAGAGCCGAGACTCAAATTAGAGATACGATCACCATCGTTGGTAATGATTGTTTGATGATCGGTATCCAAACCCTCCAACTTATTTAGATATAGATATAGATATCTGGTTCTTCGGAGGGTTCAGGGAAGGAAAAGAGGGGTTGGGTTGGGTTGGGTTGGGTTGGGAGGGACCTTAGATATGACGATAACCAGGTAGCTTTTTTTTTGTTCTGGAATTGCAAAATGGACCCCGAATCATCAGTCTCAGCTGTCTGCTGATACCTTCACGTTTCCAATTGGAAATAATTATTCAACAATGCTAGGGCCATAATTTTTGTGGCTATAATGGTTTAAAATTATCAAAATAACGTCGTTTTGAGAATAAAATATGTCAAAACGACGTCGTTTTAACAGTTTTGAGCCGTTGTGGCCACAAAAATTGTGCCCCTCAAACATTTTCCATAATTATTGGGTGCGAGTAACCCCACCAATGACTTCTCCATCTATTGTTTTGTTGACTGGAGTCTGGTGGTCATGTTTATCCTAGCCTTTTTTTTTTTTTTTTTTTTTAGTTCTCTCATATTCATCTTTGATATTGAATATAAAATATTAGGTCTCATAAATATTTTTTTATTGGTAAGATGTCTTTTTTTGTAAAATAGTTTGATAAGAAATCTTTTTATTTGTTTTGAAGAATATTTTGTTTTTAATTTTACCACTGGATTTATCTGTTGAATTTTTTTTATGTATTTACATTTGTTTTTTATTTTTTAATTTTTTTTTTTTTGACTATTTAAGGTCTTCAACAAACTGATTCTGGTTGTGTTGGCAGATCCTTGAACAGAAGGCAAAGCTACCAACTAAAGAAGTAGCGGGCACACTACTAACTGAAACTTATACATATTTACATACACAACATGACATAAATATACATATATATACACAGAGAGAGAGAGATCTAAGAGTTAACGAATCTGGTTGTGTTGATTGATTGCATTTAGTTAGGGAATTTGGAAAGGAAAATGAAAAAGATAGATGAAATATGAATAAAATATATCTATATTTCACTTAATTTCACACCCCTTTTCCAAATCTCTCTCCAAATCCCTGAACCAAATACAGCGTAAGAGTCAACAAATCTAGTTATGTTGATTGATTGCACTAAGAGTCAACAGATCTGGATCTGGTAGTCAGATCTTCTAGGATTCAGCGGAGCCACCAGCGAAGGAAGATAAGGATGTGGTGGTGCGGTGGATGCAAGGGCGATAGAGGAGATCGAGAATAACAGATCGAATGAGAGTCGTCGCCGTTTGCAGTAATAGTAGTGGCGACGACGACAATGTACCTATCGAAGATGTTCTCTCTCTTGTTGAGATTGGAGAAATAATAAAGAAATAGAGAGAGAGAGAGAGAGAGAGAGAGAGAGAGCAGATAAGTAAGAGGAGAGACCGTGACGATGACGAAGAAGAGAGAGAGGATGAGAACATAGAGAGAGACGGTGGAAGAGAGCGGAGAGAGAAATGTTTTGGTTTCGTTTGGTCAGGCCTTGTTTGAAAAGTTGGCTATTTTAGTTGTCTTTTTAGCTATTTTAACCTAGCTAAAAAATTTATGCTTGGGAAGATAGTTGAATTTTTTTTGTAATTAATTTAATGGTTGTGAGAGAATTATGAGTTAAATTTTTGTCTTTAATTTATTGACTATAGTAGCCCAAATAAACCTTTCCAAATAACTCTAATATATATATATACACACATAGGTAGTTTAGTCATTTGTAAGAGTTTGTTCTTATGGATAAAGTATTTTAAAGTGTGAATCTTTTAGGCAAAGAAAATCCAAAATTGAATTTATGGACCGTTTAGGTAAAGCGCCAATAAATCCTAAATAGTGATCTTATGAATTGTTTGGTCCTTCTTTTTTTTTCTTGTAGATCCAAATGTCTCATTTTAGTGTGAATTACATAAAATGTCAAGTGTAAATGTGTGTGTTATGTGTTGAGGAACAAATATGAAATTTTTCATAATGTTGAAATTACTAACGTAACACTTCAAAAAAACTCCTTAATGTACTTTTTCCAAACAAAACATTCCAATGTAACATTCAAAAAATGTAACACTGTAATATAACATACTAAAAAATTCCTTAGTGTACTTTTCTCAAATATAACAACGTGACATTTAAAAAAAAGCTCTTTTGTATAATTTTTCCAAACGTAACACTTCAATCAATGTAACACACAAAAAATTCTTAGTGTACTTTTCTCAAACGTAACACTCTAATTAATGTAACATACAAAAACTCCTTAATGTACTTTTTTTAAATGTAACACTCCAATGTCACACACTAAAAAGCTCCTTAGTGTATTAGTCTCAAACGTAATAACGTAATATTCTAAATAAATAAAAAAAAAAACTCATTAATGTATTTTTTCCAAATGTAACTGTAACAACCTCGACCTATGATTAGTCGATAAACCATGAATAATTATGCCTAATGAATAATTAAGAGGAAATTCTGAATTACTTGCATGTGTGTTGCATTATTTGTGTTTCTATCTGTCTATCATAGAAAGATATGTTAGTGTTTTTGTTTTATTTTGCAAATTGAAGGCCTTATCGGCATCCGATCATGAAATTGACTTGATATATGTGTTATTTGGAATTTTTAAGAAATTATGATGGGTTAAATTGGAATTCGATTCAAAATGAATTAATTAGAACAAAATGTTCTCACATAGTTATTTTAAACTCAAGTTAATTAAGCTTCATTAGTTGAACCTATATAAGGCCTATATAACACTTAGACGCATCTTTCTCCACCTTGTTGAGCTCTTACACGTGAGAGAGAGGAAGAGAAAGAAGGAAGTGAGATCGAAGAAGAGGAAAGAAAGAATTGGTGAGTTGAAGACACTTTGGAACCTTACACTTAACATCAACCTTAAGTAAAGATTCAACTCACATTTTGTAACTTCAAGCTTATTTACATATGAAATTAAAAAGGAAATTAGAGTGTATTGCATGAATTTAAGATTTTAAGTGTTTAACTTGAGAATTGATCTAGAAATGAAGGAATTTGACCCATACATGTCGTGCATGCATAATTCTCATGAATTTGAAATTGATTCCAAGTAATTCTTCCATGCATGTCATGTTTTTGACTTAATCATGAGCCTTCATCATGTTTTCCATCAATATCTCTTGGTTGAGTATGCTTTGAAAGGTTAAAGTTTGAAGAAATTACATACATGTGCATAGCATGAATTCCGAGTTTTGATTTCACACAATTGACATGCTTTTGGGCCTTGATTTTGTGAAATGGTTTTGAATTCTTGATGTTTGACAAATTTACACAAGTTTCCTTAAGTTTTGGCCCAAAAGAACTTGATTTGTAGCTTTGAGTTCAGAGTTTTGAACTTGGAAGTGCAATTTGGAAATTCTAGAATTCTACTATCCTCTCGAACGACATATCTTGCGCTCGAGTAACCACTTTGTGTTTTGCACCTCCACACAAGTGACCAAAAGTGGGCTCGAGTGAAAAATGCATGCTCCTAGAAGTTTACCATTTTTGCAGACCGCTCGAGCGACAAGAGTTGCGCTCAAGCGAGGACTTCAGTCTCACGCTCGAGCGACCGTCGAGTGTGCATTGAGCAGAAAAATCAAGCAACCAGTACTTTTGTAAAGTTTACAAATTGCTCGAGCGACCGAAGTTGCGCTCAATTGACCACTCACATCTTTGAGCCTCCGTTCGAGCGAATGAAGTTGTGGTCGAGCGAAGGCCCTGTTTTTAACAAAATTTGTTAAGTGTTTCAAAGTACATTTTGGCATTCTCATTGCATCCTAAGCATTCCTAGACGATGGTTAAGACATAATAATGAGAATAAGAAATAGAAACATACCAAGATAAAAAATAATTAAGTTAATAATCCCGTGTGTGTAATTCAGTACGTATTCATCTTGTATCTGTATAGGTCATGCGCCGCAAGTTCTCTAATTTGTCTGCTCTATCTGTTTGCTTTGGAGCCATCTGTGAGTAATAGCTTTGTAAAACTATGTTTACGTTTAAGTAATTTCCTATATGATATGATTTGACAAGAAATGTTCTGTTTTCTGACATGCTATGTTCTGAACCAATGAATGATTGTTCATATATTGAAAAGTACTTATGGCATCCTTAGCACAAGGTCATTGCCCAAACGTAACAATACCGTGGTTTATGAGCAAGGCCCTTGCCCAGGGGTAATAATATCGTGGTCTCATGGCCCTCGCCCGGGGTAACAATATCGTGGCTCGAGTATGTTACAAGTTCCCGGTACCGAAGGTTCCTTAATGGAATTGGCAAGCATGACCCTTTATACTCTATATTTGATCTGCCAGCACTAATGGATGTATCATGTATAATTAAGCATAAATTCTGATTTCTGATATGACATTTGTTTCTGAATCTAATATGGGACATCATTCATTTAAACCCTTTACTTTGTTATTATTTACTGGGCTTCCGCTCACTATTTATATTATTTATGTAGGTGAGCAGGCACGTGACCAAGCCTAAGCTACTGCCTAGAGAGTTTTGGGTCAGCCAGCCACCGTGCCTGCCGTGGAGGTTCCTTTTTGAGAAGTGGTCAAGTTTTTGTAATCAATGTTTAATATCTTTTTGTATTCTCTTGCTAATCGTAATCTGGACTTTAGTTGTCTGTACATATGGATGATGACATGGTTATGACGTGTTACTTATATAAATATAAGTTTTAAATTTTTGTCCCCATGTACGTTAGCACAGCTCTATGGACATTATATTTCATATTTGCTTTCACAGCCCCTTATATTTTGTGATCTTTAGATTAGAGGCCTTTAGTAATCCAAGGATTACTGGCCGGTTACGATACTAAACCTATAGGGGCGGGTTTGGGTCATGATAGAGTGGTATCAGAGCACGAGTTATACTGCGCACACAAGTCCATATGAGTTATAAAATGTCCTAGAAAAGATTAAGGACATTTCATCTGCATATGTGAGTGAGTATTTATTTTTGTAAATGTGAAAACTGAATCTGGACATGAATACATGACATTGAAACGAATGAACTGGATCTAAATACTCTGAACATTATGAAACAAACTATTTGCCTATGTTTATAAGTACTCTGTTTACCTATAGCAAATGGAAAACACACAAAGTGATGATACAATTGGATCTTTTAAGGCCCGAAT